AACCAACTCCAACCCAGTAATTAGCTCTGGTGGAGCAAAAATGATTGAAACCGAATCTGCCTCACCTTCCAAAAGTCACGTCTGTCACATCTTTATCAAAGCAGAGCAACTTTTCAATGTGCTTTCTAAATCTCTTCAGCTGTTTGACTCTATCTCCACCTCAGTTTGATCCAGTCTGCTTTTTTTTAAGACTGACTTTTGAGGGAACACCACTGAAAGCTGAAGTGAGGCTGCTATTTTCCCCTCTGTTCTCCTGACAAGTCATCTCTCCCACTGCACACAAACAGAGCTGATTCACTGGCATGTTATTAAAATACGTCGCAGACATTTAGACACACTTAGGAGTTTCTGTTCAGAAACATTAAAATTGCTGCCTCCAAGGTTGTTACAGCTACTACAGGAATTCAGATACCCTCCTCTGGGTTATGAAAGCTGTTGGGTGAATCCAGTTACTACACATTGATTGTATAAATGGCTTTGTTTTGTCTGGTTTGGTGGACTAAGGCCTCTGGTTTTTTTTTTTTTGTTGTTTTTTTTTTTTCTGTGCAAATGTCTGGTGATACCAATACATGCTAAAAGCTCTAATAGCTCCCCGGTGCTGGGCTTGGCTGTGTAATGTAGCTTGAGCTATGGAAATTTAATGTACAGATCAATAGTACAGCCTGGCAGAAGAATCCTGGACACTGGACATCATTGTCCTCTGGAATAAGTGTATATATGCAGTACAGTTGTGTGCTGGAATTAGGAAATATGATTGACATGGAATCACTGTACCTATTCCCCACCACCTCCACAGACACAGATCTGAGTATTTTCCCATTTTCTGAAGTGTTTCTTTTGCAAAACATGATAATTAAGAAAGATATACTGTGCAGTTGTGAATTAATGGCCAGCCTTTTTTTTTTTCCCCAACTGCTTTTTTAGCTGCTGAATATTTGGAGTTTTTTAAATATGTGGAGAGCTGATAAAAATGAAATACTAATTAGCCAGAAGAAGTTGAGACTGTGTGTGGTGTAATGACAACTTGCAGGTTATACAGTGTACAGTGTAATTGTGAAACTCTTCTTCAGTAGCTGATAGGCTTAAATATGTGTGTGAAGTGTCATCACTTTAATATTTTTCTTGTAATAATTTAAATGGACTTAATGCCTATTTTTTACTTGTCAGGAAAAATAAAATTTACATTTAGTGATCACTGACACTAAAACTTTGATCTGCTTCATCAGCTGAAAGGCCAGGATCTAAACTTGGATGTAATAAATAGACCAACTTTATTCCTAAATCTTTCTCAAGTCCTGGGAATGGTTATAATGGTCAGTGCAGAGCAAACTGAGAGCCTTTGTCCACTGTGTGTTTAATTTGAGGAGCCTCTAAACCTGAACAGACACATTTTTCTCATAAACACTGGCTAAATTCAAAGGTAACTGAGAATAACAACTGCCACTCTTTCACCAGGCCCTATTGTCATTTTTCTCTGACCTGGTGGTGTAATTAATGCGGCTTAGTATCAGAAATTATAGAAGGTGTATTTTAAAAAGGTGAAAACAATGAGATTTTAGGATGTCACCCCGTGGCACGGGGTAGTCTTGCAATGTGTAATGGGAATATCTGGAGATTTACAGTTTAGTTGACATGGTGGTGTTTGGACTTGATGATCTTGGAGATCTTTTTGGATCCTATCTTATGGTTCTATTCTGTGTTTTGTCTCATTCAGGGAGAACCTTCCTTTTGGTGAGGGTGTAGATAGACTACTTAGAATAGCGTGTATATTCTAAATAAATACATTCTTACCCACCTCTAACTTGTTTCTGTGTCCATGCCCTGCCTTAATATACTAAAAGGAACTTACCAGTTGTATTCTTTCTGTCAGTGCAGTTTCCTTGCCCCTGAGTGGGGCATTGCCCTGGTGAGCCTTTGAGCAGTGTTTGGACTCACAGCTGCCTCACCAAATGCTGCAGAAGTGCTTCAGTCTCTGATCACAGTAGTCAATATTTTATGTGATACTGGAAAAAACACAGCAGCTGGTGTTCACTTTTTAAATAAGTGTCATTTTTTTGTGCATGTGAACAAACAGGTTTCTGTGGTTGGTGGTGTTTTCCACTCTGGAGAGGCAGTTTAAACCAAACACTTATTACCACTCAGGCTATTTTTAATTTCATCTCTGTCGAGACTTGCTCCTCTAAAACCAGGCGATAGAGACGAGTTCTAAAATACCTTTTGCTCCCACCGTGGTGAAAAGTTGGCACCATTTTATCAATGGGCAGAGAGCAGGAAGTGAAACGTGAGTCCGCTGAGCAGCACTTGCTCCTTGGCTCCGGGGAGAGGCGGAATGTAAATCCGGGAATGGTTTCCTGAGGGCCCTTCCCTCGCAGGGGTGTTGTTATCCATGGCCTCCCTGCACCTCCGGAGCCAGGCAGCTCTGCCCAGCTGGGATCAAGGACGCTGGGACAAACCCAGCTTTTGCAAGGGCTGGAGCTCTTGGAGAACAGAAGACTCCTTGTTCTTTGACAGAATGTCCCAAAACTCTGTTTCCTAATGCTGGGAGTGTCATCTGAGCTGTTATGGTGCAAAGGCTCTGACTCCAGGATTGGCTGACTTTGTTTTTAGGCTGATTTTAGTTGATTAAGGTAAATCTTCTGAAGAATCAAATTTCTGTGTGTCAAGATAGGCTTTGTTTTATTGTAAGTACCCTGGTCTGCTACAGTATCACTACAACAGGACAGGCAACTGAGGGAATTAAGGAAAACACAGTGTTGTTCAAAGGTGACAAATCTGTGGCTTCCCTAAAAAAAAACCTGCTAGTCTGGCCTTCAGCATCCTTCCTCCAGCTCTTCTGTAAGTGGTGTTCATGTTTCTTTCTCCTAAAATAAACATTGGCTAATGAGTATCAAGTAGGTCCATGACTCGACCTGTTTCAAAAGCTTCTCATGTAACATGGATTTCTGAGGAATTGCTCCTCCGTCTTTCAAGTCCTGAAAGGCTTCAGCACGTCTCGGCTGAGGGAGGAACTGTGGGGTTTGCAGCTGGGGAGGTGCCTCGAGCATTTGGGGAATGTCTTCATCAGAAAGGTGATGCCAATGTCTTGGCAGAAAGTAGAATCGACTTGTTTACAGTGATAGTTTAATAAATTGAGTGTAACTTACTGAAAGAAACACCATTGTGATATGATTGTTATGAATGAGAGGCATATCCACCATCTGTTTTGACAGGCCTTTGATCTTGGATGCTGCAGTCTCCTGTTTGCCTTAATGTGGGAATTACAGTACACAGGAAGCTCCCTTGGGCTGGCAGGAGAAACTGGAACATGATATATGACTGCCTTGTTTTTGTTTTTTTTTTTTTTCTTTACTATATTAAGTGACACAAACATGTCTCCCTTCCTGTTTAGGAGGAAACAAAACAGTTGTTGAATCAACTGAAGTCTGGTTCTCGCTCAGACTCCCGGGAGGATGAAATCTCTCCCCCTCCTCCCCTCAACCCTGTGGTGAAGTATCGATCACGACGTGGGGCCATCAGTGCAGAAGTCTACACAGAAGAGGATGCTGCATCTTATGTTAGAAAGGTGTCTGGCTTTTAAAAGTTGCTAAGAATTACATCTGCAGGCCAAGGGTTTATCTGAGCCCACCTTCTACCCAGAGTATTAAATAAACTCCATGGAGTAAACTGTCATGCAGTTAAAACATTTATGCATTGCTTAGACCTGTTGCCTTTGAAGTGATATATAATTAGATGTAGATATATATGTTACATGTAAACAAAGTGTTTCAACAGCTGCACCAACATAAATTTGGCCTTATGGCTGAGCAGACTTGCTGCTATTCACAGGAAAACACAGGTTGAACAGATACCTGCCCTCTTGCAAAAAAAAAACTTGTAAACTGAGCACAGGATGGTGCTTTTACAGATGCATAACATAACAGAAGATTCTATTTACCTGGTGTTCAAACTGGTTGTAAACATTGACTTATGTTTGGGTTTATATCTATAGTGCTTGAAAGAAACTGGAAATACTCAACCAGTGTTTTGTAGCAGTTAAAATAATTTATTTACCTTGTGCAATGCACAGATTTGGTAGGAAGAAATTAATCAGTTGCTTTTTCTGATTGTGTGCTAGGTTATTCCAAAAGATTATAAGACTATGGCTGCTTTGGCAAAAGCTATTGAGAAGAATGTGCTGTTCACCCATCTCGATGATAATGAAAGAAGGTAGGGGGGAATCTCTGGAGCGTTAAAAAGTTTCTGGAAGGGCAGACTGCAGAATGGATGTGTCACAGTGTCCAAAACTGCACAGGCAATGATCAGTGTAGCCATGCAGAGGCTGCAGGAGCAGTTTTGGTGGGTGGGGGGTGTGAATGTGTGGAGTTGTCATGGCTTTTGTCTAATTTTGGTGTCCCTCTTCTTCAGTGACATCTTTGATGCCATGTTCCCTGTCACTTACATCGCAGGAGAGACTGTCATACAGCAAGGCAAGTCACAGCGTTTGCACTGCTGAAGGATTTGAGGATGGGGAGCAGGCTCTGGCCTGTTCTTCTTGTTAGTTTTTGGGGTTTCTTTTGGAATACAAAAACATTGTCTGGCTGCAGTGACCCTTTCTTGTTGTGCTCCCTGAAGCACAGCTCGTTCTGAAGGGAGGAGTGGAGCAAGGATAGGAGGATGTGGTTTCATTGCATGTATTATCTGTTGGGAATATCATTTGATGACTCTGTAGAACATGTTATGTCAGTTTATGGATCCAGTACTCCTGGAGTTGCTGCTGATCTCCCAGATACCAGTAGATGTCCCCTTTCCCAGGGCTGAGAGGAGCGTGGAAGCAGCAAAATGTGAAATTTCACCCTGCAAGCTGTGCAAAAATCTGTCAACCTTATTGGAGTTTAAACATCAAAGTTGTCAGAGATGGCAATTCTGTGAAATGTGAATGTTTGCATAGATTTACTCCTTTCAGTGTGTATTCAATTTATTTTTCTTCTTTAGGTGATGAAGGTGATAACTTCTACGTTGTTGATCAAGGAGAAATGGATGTAAGCATTATTGGTAGTTTATTAATGATATGTTCATTCCTAGCAGAAGAAAACTCTGATATTTGCAGGCCTCTTCTACAGGCACTGTCTTTAGCAGCTTCTCTTATATTAAGTCCTTACTTTTAGGAGCTTATTTTGCTCCTGAATGGCTCAGTCTGGTTGCAAGAACTATGAGTTGGGTTGGGTTTGAAAATGAATGATTTGGACTCCAACACAGCAGAAATGTTTTACAAGTGCAGGGTGGAGTCTGCTTGAGATGTGGGACAGGCTTTTTATTTTTTAGTCCAGCTAATTCATAGCTCTCTCTGACAGAGACCTTGTTGAGATGTTATTTCCTGTCAGAGGAGTTGACACGTGTAGAACCTGTGCACGTGATGTGGGAGAGACAATGAAAGTAAAAGTGGTGCTGATAAAGCCCTGGGATGGTCAAGTGTGCAGATGTGGGAATTTCCCTGTGCCGTGGAGAGAGGGCAGCAGGGGCTTGGGGTGTCTGTGACCACCAGGATGCTCTTGCCTTTCAGGTTTATGTGAACAGTGAGTGGGCCACCAGTGTTGGGGAGGGTGGGAGCTTTGGAGAACTCGCCCTCATTTACGGAACCCCTCGCGCTGCAACCGTCAAAGCCAAGACGAACGTGAAGTTGTGGGGCATCGACAGAGACAGCTACAGGAGGATCCTGATGGCAAGTACCCTCCAGAACTTGGAATTATGCTTTTGGGGTTTGCTTATGCTGGTCATCTGACCTTCTGCCTGTGCCTGTCCTTTGCTGGAATTATTTATTCCAAATCCTGCTATCTCTTTTGTAATCAGAAAGCTGATTACTCAACATGCATCTCTCAGGCACAGGGCAAGGGAGAATCTTGCATTAGTGAGCAAAACAATACCAGAGCAGTATTAACTGAGAATGTAACAAGGCTGCAATAAATGCCGAGTACTTTATGAATGTTGCTCAACTGAAACATTACTGAAATAACTCAGTTTCAAAACACTTAATCTTGTGGGTTTGGGGTCTGTGAGACAGGATGCAGTATGTCTGGCTAAATTTATTTTTGTCTTGAGTTTTATTTGAAGTAGAAAGAAAACTTACTTTGTGCGCTTAGATTTTTTCTTTTTTTTTTTTTTTTTTTTTTTGTAGGGCAATACTTTGAGAAAGAGAAATATGTATGAGAAATTCCTTAGTAAAGTATCTATATTGGGTAAGTGAGAAGATTTTTGTTCTGAAGTGGAATAAATTATAATGAAGCTGTTACCCAAACATCATGATGATTTCAGGCTGTTGTAATTCATGACAAGTGGCTGCAAACCCTGTATTGCTTTTCTGCATCAGTCCCAAATGACTCTTAATTCAGGTCTTCATACCTGATGCACAAATGTAGCCAGAAATACCTTGACCTCTGTATAAATACAGAGCCAAAAGTGTGATTTGTGCCTTGAGAAGGCATTCTGTTAACGAACTGTTAACTCTGTAGAATCTCTGGACAAGTGGGAGCGTCTCACTGTAGCTGATGCTCTGGAACCGGTACAATTTGAGGATGGGCAGAAGATTGTGGTCCAGGGAGAGCCAGGAGATGAGTTCTTTATTATCTTGGAGGTAAGTCAGGTCAAAATTAAAAGCTCAGATGTTGACTTCTTTTTTTTTTTTTTTTTTTTTTAAATTTTGTCCCTAAACAAACACTTGGAGAAGAACAAAACACAAGAGTGTCCTTACAGAAGATCTGTAAAGAAATATGTTCTTGCTGGACATGCAAAAGCTTATATTTAGTTTTGCTATTTTTACAAATGGCATTTCCAGCAAAAAAGGCAACAAGTTGCTGGCTGAAACCAGTTTTAATTTTTCAGAGTAGAGGAGACCTGTTCTAAATAGCCAGTAACACCTTGCTAGGGGTATCATTGTCTTCTATCTGGTGTTTTGGGGTTTTTTTTGCTGGTCATACTATAATATTCTTACTATTATGAGGAAAACCAGGAAGAAATTGGTTCTGTGGGCATGTAAACACCCAAGACCTTTTATGCTTGGAGAGCATAAAATAAAAAATATAAAAGCATAATAATAAAAAAATTAAAAATAAAAAAGCATAAAAATAAAACAATTTATTGAAGTTAATGCTGGAGTTTGTTAGAACGAAGCACTTCCAGCTGTTTGATTGCCGTGATTTGTTTGTTGCAGGGCACGGCTGCAGTGTTACAGCGCCGGTCAGAAAACGAGGAGTTCGTGGAAGTGGGCAGACTGGGACCTTCTGATTACTTTGGTGAGTCTCACAGTGACAGCTGTGCTTACGTCTCTGCTGTCACCATTTTACCTGCGCTGTGGGGATGGCAGGTATGAGATGGATTTGAAGTTGCATCATTCTGCTCAGGGCTGCGTCCAGCTGAGTCTCTCGTGTCTCCAGGGATGGAGATCCCACAACCTCTCTGGGCAGTTTCTTTTGCTGTTTAACCAGTCCTGTTGTGAAGAGTTTTTTTTCTCTTCATGCCTGACAAGAATTTCCTGTTCTGCAGCTTGTTGCTTTCTCTCTGCCTTTCACTGTGCAGGGAGCAGTGTGGGTTTGTCTTTGTAGTCACTCACTGTGTAGCAGAAGACAGCAAGCAGTGAGATAATCAGATTCCCTCCTTGGCCTTCTCTCCTTCAGGTCAGAAAACAACGTGGTCAGAACCTACTATTTAATGGTTAAATACTGCCCTCTCCCCCTCTCTCTCAAAAACCCTAACTTTTTTTCTCATGTTTAAGGTAGTTCCTCTTTAGGGCTCTCCCCCCTTGCTAAAACCTTTTGATTGTCCATGTTTTCAGCTCTGTAGATGATAAAATCAGCAAATTCTGCGTTGCAAGGCCTGAAGTGGGATGGACTCAAGTGCACTGGCTTTGCCCAAAGCTCTGCTTAGCTCAGGATCTAGGACTAGACTTCATTCTGTGCATGTCATTTCAGTATTTTCTAATATTTCCCTCGAATATTTCTTCTCTCAGTTGAGACAGAGCTTTTGGCATGTTTGTGCAAAACTTATGAAGTGGGAATCCAATGAGACTTCAAGTTGTTCATCTTCCACAGCCAAGTCCAATTCTTTATTTTGGCCACCTGTGGGTTAAAGGCTTCTGTCTTGTGCATTAATGAGTTTTTTTGTTTGTTTTTTTTACTTCAGTACCATGGTTGTGTTGTCCCAAGTTTCCTAGAAATACCAGAACTGAGCAGTAATTTACCTGTTAGAAAAACAAATACTTGTTGACCAGGAAAATGACATGTTAAATTGAAACACGACCTTTCCTCAAACAGAACTAGTGCTGAAATTCCTTAGGCTTTCTTCGGAGAGACTTGAATGTGGACAGGGTTATTAATAACAAAATCATCGAGTAGTTCTTTTAAACAGTTGCTTTCAATGTAACTACACAGACACTTGCCCTGAGAGGTGTCCAAGCGGGAATTCCCTTCCCTGCAGTTGGCAGTACAACAGGGTGCTTTCTTTGCCTGCTGGTTTGTAACACTGTCCACACTTTCTGCTGCCCCAGGTGAGATTGCTCTGCTGATGAACCGTCCTCGTGCTGCCACAGTCGTTGCTCGTGGCCCCTTGAAATGTGTGAAGCTGGACCGGCCCCGGTTCGAGCGGGTCCTGGGCCCCTGCTCGGACATTCTCAAGAGGAACATCCAGCAGTACAACAGTTTTGTATCACTGTCTGTCTGAAACCTTCCTCCCTGTCCAAGCCATGCTTCACGAATGCAGACTGCTTTATTTCCCTTGTGCACAGCCACATTTGCCACTTGGCATTTGCAGCTTCCTGTCTGGTTAAAAAAAAAAAGAAAAAAAAAAAAAAAAAAAAAAAAAAAAAAAAAAAAAAAAAAAAAAAAAAAAAAAAAAAAAAAAAAAAAAAAAGAAAAAAAAAAAGAGAGAGGAAAAAAAAGAGATAAAAAAATTAACTGCTTATCATGGCACTGTCATTAATTTAGGGCATATTATTTCTGTGCTCTCTGTCCCATTAAATTAATAGCAAAAGTTCTATGGAGACGTTTGCTTCTCTCTGTGCACCAGTGTCCAACTCAGGCCAGGGCAGCCTTGCTTCAGCGAGGGAGAGACCTCCTGGCACCACGCCATTGCCATACAGTAAGGAGGTGACAGGAAAGGGAGGGGGGGAAAAAAAAAATCCTTGTGAAGTTGTTTCTCAAATTGTTGGACAGGTTTTAAGGCTGTGGTCATCACCTGCTGTATTTCTTTTCACACGAGAACTTGCCCTTGTAATTGAGCTTCTTGGGGCTTGGGGTTTTCTGGGTTTCTTTATTTTTTTTGTTTATTTGTTTGTTTGTTTGTTTTTTCATTTTCTGGGTACTGTAATCCTGGGTTCAATCGTGAGGCATCAGCTGCTAAGAAAGCCACAGTTGGAATTTACCAGTATAATTGTACCTGTGTCCACTGGTTTAAGATTGCTTAGTTCTGTTTTCTGTCAAGTGTAAAATCAAAAGCTTTCAAAGGTTAATAGTTCTGGTGAACTACTGCAGTTGTTAATTCATTTTCTGACTTGCTGCAACTGGTATTTTTCTCTTGTTGTTTCTTCAGCCATAGATTTGCCATTTAAAACTCTTCCCTGTTCCAAGTGGCAAGAACCAAATGTTACATTCAATGCCTGACTGGTCTCTAGTTCATAGATTGGTGTAAGAATGTGCAGCTGTCCAGCTGTTAGTAATGTTTTGAGTGCTTAGAGTGGTGTAGAAGTTGAAAGCAAACATTTGATTTTCCCTGTGACTTGTTTTGTTCATCCTCAGTTGACTTTAAAAATAATCATCATCAGTTCAGGTGACCCTTTGTTACCAGGGAAAATAAATGCTGAGTATTTCTGGCCAGCATCAGTTGCAGGTGGCTGGTCTGTAGAGATCCATTATTCTTGGTAGATAATGTGAGGCAGAAAAAACTGAATGTTTTAACTTTCCTGCAACACTCCGTTGTTTTAAGTTTTTAAACCTGTCCATTCACAATTTCTTTTTTTTTTTTTAATGGTTCATTATAAACCTAGTTTGAATCCAAGAGATGTTTGGATTTCTTTTCTTGCTTATGGAATTTCCACCAGATGTGTTTCATACTCAGTCCTTCTATTTTTTTCTTTTTTTTCCAAGTTCATCCTGTCGCGGAGTCTTAAATGTATTTCGGTATTTCCCAGCTCTGTGTTCCATTGCTCTGTGCTCACCGAGACTTCCCCGAAGTTTTTACTGAATTCCACGGTTCAATAATTGTAGGCAATTTTTAAGGTTTCCTTTAAACTGTAATTTATATGAAGTAGCATAGGTTTGTATTGGGGAGTGACAGCAAGCAGTCTGGCATTTGTTGTGCAACTACTCTAACGACGGAGCCCTCGTTTTATTTCCTTTCTGAGGTGATAGGGATTCAAATCCAACATTCTCCCAGGCATGTAGAGCATCAGGAAGAGTCTGCTCCTTGATGCAGAATAATACTGGAGGTATCAAGCCTTTACAAAAGGTTTCAGAGTATTTCTGAACCCGAAATCCCAAGAAGGGGATTGAAATGCTTGTGGTTTGAGTTCTCTAGTCAGGAGATGCTGAGTAGAGGATTTCTGCCAGAGTCCTTAAGGAATAAGCAAATGCTACCTTTTTTTGGTTATTTTTTTTTCTTTGTTTTTGGTAAAAATTTTTTTCTTAAGTTTTGACTCTCTGCAGGTTTTTTCTTCATATGTGTTCTTTGTGTTACATTAAAGCACCAAAAACTGTGTAAACCAGTTAGAGCTCCACAGAAAAAAATAAAAATGCACATTTTTTTTATATGAGGCTTTCTAATCAAGTTTCACTACTGCATCTTTTTAGCTTGCTGTTTACTCCCTTTTGTAGTTTTACCTACAAGATTTTAAGATAAATCAGCTAAGTCTGAGTTAAATATTAAACACAGTTATAGCTTTACCTTTGTGTGCAATTTCAATATGTTGGAAACCACAATTGGCATAGTTTTGCCTTAGCTAACATTCAGGGCTTTAGAAGTAATTTTTTGCTAGTCTATCTTCAGCAAATTGATGAAGTCTATTGCCCTAGGAAGCTATAGTCAACCAGAGGACCATTTTTGTATTGTTACCTGACTCTATAAGTCTGATTTACTGTATGTGCTAATATATTATATTATATTCCTTTTGTTATAGATTGTCCTAATGGCAGGTAAAGCAATAAAATGATTTAAATTCTTAAATGCAATCAGTCTCTTTTATTTTATTCCCCTCCCTGTATTGTGTTTTCCTTTGGCTTTAGAGGATGTGTCATGAATGAGGCAGTAGAAACTAAGCAGCTTAATGGATTAGTTTGGTGTTAACTCCACAGGGTTGAGTTCAGGTCCTGAACCTTCCCCTCGGAGCCTGTGGAGAGCTTGGTCTCCACGTGCCAGCCTGGGAATTCCTCTGGAGCTCTGGCACGACTGATTTTTGCAGTGAGAAGGCCCCTGTGTCCTGTTTGAGCGTCTCAGCCACTTGGTGCTGCTTTGATCTTTTCCAGTTGGTAATTCCCAGCCCAGACACGATTATTGGAGCTCGGGAGCTGCCCCAAGTTGGCCACTCCCACCCCTGCAAACCCTCCGTGAAGGTTTGGAGCATTGTGGTGATTAATCATGAACGAGTTCTGGTGGGCAGACAGTGGAAAGGGGAGGAGGGGGATTTTCAGCTCTGATGAAGAAGGGAAACATTTGAAGAGTGATGACATGAAGCAGCTCAGACTGGATGTGTTTCACATCCAGCTCTGAGAAAGCTGGATCCTGACTGGATCGCTCCACTTTGAAGATACATTAAAAATGTATCTATCATGTAAAAGAGAATAAAAATGAGAAGAAAGCAACCTTGCAACCCTGTTAGTGTAGCAGCCGTTCAAATATCCACGGGTTTGTTTCCCTGCCCTCCCTTTCCCCATCCCCTTGACTGAAAGAAAACCAGGCTGAATCCAGGATTTTTATTACCTAAAAAAACCAGGCTGAAAACAGAACTTGATCACCTAAAGTGAAACGTGAAAACCTCCACTTCCAGCCTTATAAACTCTATAACTATAATGTTACTTTTAAGCTTATCTCCTGTTGCCACATTCTTCCTGTTGGAGCAACCAACACTCACCATTCCATGACAACAACCGAGTTAATTTTGGGCTCGTCCTGTGTGGTGAGAGCACAAGAAGCCACCGGTAGAGGGAGATGAAACTTTGGGAATTCGTTGTGCTGTGCTGAAAAAACCAACACCGAGCATGCTGAGAGGGAGTTAAATCCTCTTATTTTCATCTGTCCACAGGAATAAAAAGGTCTGTAAGTCCCCAGCGTAAAGAATTCTGATTAGGACTGTGGAAAAGCTGGAAATGGAAGGAATGTGGCTGGATCACAAGTTGGGAGAGACTGAAGGAGCCTGGAGTGGGGGTTTTGTGTGGCAGTTCTGGTGGGTTTGTGTGGCAGTTCTGGTGGGTTTGTGTGGTATTTTTTTGCTAACCTTTGTGTCTTCAGAATAATTGAGGAATTTCTTCACTGAGAAACTCTTCAAACTTCCTCAGACATACAAATAAATGAGGGACACACTCAAATTACAACTCCAGCCTTTTGTAGTTTGGAGCCAGGTGTGTTGTCAAACTGTTGTGGAGCTGAATTGAGCACCCTGGGAAAAACGAGAGCTGTGGCCTTTGTTCAGGCTTTGTTCTTTCCTTGCACCATCCAGGCTCTTACTGTCTTGTGTCACCCAGTTCCCTTTAGGTTGGGCAGAATTCCAGCCCCTGACAAAATGAGCCAGTGGTAGATGCAACAGCGCCCTGGGAACCTCTTAACTGCTGCCTGACAGCACTTATACTTGGTGGTTTTGGGATTCCCTGGAAGGTCTGCAGTGCTGTAGGTGGGTTTTGTTTAACTTTAAAGGTTAGTTTAGAATGAGCTTGTAGTAATTGGTTGTGGTGTGGTTTTTTTTTTTTTTGTTGGCTTTTTTCCCCCCTTAAGGATGATAAATTATCAACAGAGCTCTCAGCTACTTTTCCTAGGCTGCCAAAAGGCTCAGTGGAATTGTTCCTGAACAGTTAAAGGGAAAAGCTATTAAAGAGAGCTTCAGTAATCCAGTTATTCCTAAACTTTGTCGTTGGGAGGTCAGGGGAAAACTGGAAAATGAAATACCTACAATAACTCCTCCCGCTCTTTTGATCTCCAGGTTCTATTGCATGTCCTCAAAATGCATGGGGGGGAGGACACCATTTCTATTTTCCAGGGAATTATGACAACTGAAATGATTTTAAAGTTATCATGTAAATGATTTAAAGGAGATGACTTGAGATGGATGCCCCCACCTTTGGCAGAATGTTTTCACCAGGAATGGGTGGGTTCCTGAACTGTAAATACAGTCGTGTGTCTCAGAGCAGTTTGGTTTTTGGGGTTGATGGTGAGTAAGTGCAGGTGCTCTTTGGTCTGACCAAGCTGAGTCGATGTGTTGTCTCAATGGCAGGCACTGCCTTTGTGAAGTAATATTGCTCTTTTCTCACACACAGTCTTGATTACAGAACAAATAAGAGGAAAATGCTCTCGGCATCTCTTTATTCAACCCCCCGTCCTCGGATCTGTTTGTGTCCTTCACCAGGACCGGGATCCCCCTGCAGGTCGAGCAAACCAAGGCCATGTGTCCCCCCACCCTCCCAAGGGCAGGACCAACTCCAGAACAGCAGATCACTGCTATTCCACCACAGAGCTGGTGTTTGAGGTGCAAAGATCTGCTGTGGTGACACCAACACCCTGGCCGAGCGCAGCAGCTCTGGCTGAGCACCAGCACATGAGCCCAGGGTGATTCTCGAGGATCCTCTGAAGGGTTTCCCTTCCCAGTCTCTGCAAGTGTTTGCAGGTGGAAATCACCAGCCGTGTTAAACCCTGCCACTTGCCTTGCAGGGGTTTTCCCTGCCTCTGGGCACGAGTTCAGGGCTGTTTAAGTGTCCAGCTTCGCTCTGTCTGATGCAGGAGCCTGGGGCCGAGCGGTGTCGTTGGCCACCACAGTGGCTTCTCCGTAGGTGTCGATGCACTTCCCCACAGCTTCCAGGATGAGCTGCAGCCGTCTGTCCAAGGCCAGGAGATGGGGCTCGGTGAGGACAGGGGCCAGGGGGTCCTGCAGGAGGGATTCCCTCATCACGTCGCTCAGCCGATACTCGGGCTCGGCCAAGAGCTGGAGCCGCATTAACGTCGACCTCTTTATTCTGGAAAAAGAAAGGAATTGGACACCTTAATGCAAACCTCTTGCAGCCTCCCAGGAAAATCCAGCCCCCTGGCAGCAGGGGAAGGAGGGAGGGCAGAGATGGGCGAGGAAACCTAAACATTTTTGGAACAATATCTTTCCCTTTTGGAAGGAAATGGAATTTTTTGCAGAAACCTCGTCGTCTTGCTTTGTTTTTCCAGAGTGTTTGTACTGCTGATTTCTGTCACCAGAGAGGAAAACATGCTTGAAGTTCTCAGTAGTGAGTGTTTCTCCTCTGAGTCAGAGATGGACCAGCTCCTCACGTTCCTGCAAGGGTGGTGCCATGTCCCCAGGGATGACATTTATGAGATGGGAGCAGAGGGGGAGGTAAATGAAGAGGCATAAATGAGAAAATATCTTCTGTCAAAACCCTGAGGAAACAGAGGAAGTATCTCCTGGAACTGATGTAACTGTGACTTTTCACCTTAAGAGGTACTGAGATTTAAATATGATTTTCCTTTGACAGAAAATGGGATGAAAAGCTACAATCTTGGAACACTTCTGGGAAACTAAGTATTCTGAAATCATTTGTTTAATCCTCAGCAAAAGTGTGTTGACTTCAGCATCTCTTAATCAGTGGGTTTAGTCATTGCTCTTTAAATTTTGGAAACAAAGTGGTCCATGTCTGTGGAACCATTCAGGTTTTGCCGAGCCAGAATCTTCAGGTGGAAAAAGGTGTAGTCAGAATCATTTGGGGCAGCTCCAGAATTTGCCTCTGTATGGCTGTGGTTTACCCAGGGCATCGACTGGGAATGTTGATCTGGCTCTCTGCAGCTGTAACAGGCCGTGTGCTGTTTGGGAAAGGGTTGTGGCTGTGTCTGTGCCTGGATGAGCATCCACTGGGGCTGTACCAGGTGCTGGGGGGGATCATGGAATTGTTAAGGTTGAAAAGGACCTTTAAGGTCATCGTGCCCAACCATCAACCCAGCCACCTCCATGTTCACTACTAAACCACGTCCTCAAGTGCCACATCCACGCGTTCTTTTGAGCGCTTCCAGGGATGGTGACTCCTCCACTTCCCTGGGCAGCCTGTTCCAATGGTTTAAAACCCTTTTCCATGAAATTTTTTTCCTAATATCTACTCAAAATCGGGAGCAGCAGAGCGAGGTGGGGGTGTCTGCGGTCAGCGGTGCCGCCTGCACGAGGCAGAGGGGGACAGTGCCATGACCAGCTGCACCATCCTCCTGCATTAACAGTCCTGAAAAAAAATGATCAATTGATCAAGTGTGAAGGCTGGCTACGAGGCTTCAGATCCCAGCTGCGAGGCGCTGCTGCTGCCAGAGGAAGCAGTGCAGGGAGCAGATGTGAAGGAGCCATCTGCGCGCTGTCCTCCGAGGCAGCGGGGCGGCCCAGGAGCTGCTGTGGGTAAACACCAGCTGTGTCTGCTCTGCTCCCAGCGGTGACAGGGCTTGGAGGTGGAGAACGGGATAGTCTGACCCCGTGGGGAAAGGCTGATTTAATGCTGCAGCAGTTGCACAACAAACAGAGCACGGAGAGGAGGGTGAGATGGAAATGCTGCCCCGCTCTGCTCCCGCAGGGCGGCTGTGACCCCGTGGCTGTGCTGAACTGCTGAACATTTCACCCACAGCCTTCCAGGGACTTCATTAGGTTAAGCAGGGGCTGTTTCCAAGCCTGTCTGTGCCTCGAGGAGGGGTTTGACCCTTTCAGGGAGAAGACCATCTCATGGCACGGCTGTATTTGTGCCGTTCACTGTGCTGGGAGAGGAGACCTGCAGGCTCAAGGGCTGGGCTGGGAGCTGTGAAAGGCAGCTAAAAATACCAGACAAATCTGCTGGAAGCCAGACTTGGAGAAGAACTCAGCTGGGAAGGAGATGGATGTGTTTGACAGGGAAGTGAGCAGCTGTTCAGCATCCCTGTGGTTCCAGTGCTCCCTCTGTCTGGAGAGGCTGGAGGAGTTTGTTCCTCCTTACATGTCCATGGCTTGGCTTTGTGTAGGAGCAAGGAGGTGATTCCGTGGGCTGAGTCCAGGTCAGGGCAGGCTGAAATTTGTGGCCTCTGTGTGCTTACTCAAGTAAACCTCTTGACTCCCTTTCCAAGCGGTTTTGGATGCTCCCCCACTCCGAATGCACTGGTTCTTGTGGGAAATGAGGGTTTGTGTGTCTCCCTCAGGCAGCACGAGTTGCTTTTACGCTGTTCTTGGTCCTGGTTGGTTTATGACAAGGTGCAGCTTGCAGGTTCTCTTACCACTGCCTTTTACAAGGAGAATTAAATTAAGAGCCCGTTTCTGGGAGGTGGATCTGGAAGAATGAGGATGATCTGACCTGTGGATATTACAGTTTGCAGATCAAATTAAAAGGCAGAGTTAATTTTAAACTGCGCAAAATAGGAGCTCAGGAGGAGGATTCACTGCGAGCCTGCAATTATAAATGAAAAGGTTCCTTGGAGCAAATAACAGTTCTTAGAAATTAGATCCAGTAATAGAGATGTGTGGGGATAGTGCAGTTATCACCTCGAGGGTGAGATGGAGCAGGTACAGCAAGGAAAGAGGTTACACATCTCCTGAAAAGAAACCTCAGGGAAGAGCAGCTTTTTCTGTCTCTTAAATTTCACTTTCAGCTGGTGATTTATGTGAATTAATAAAGGGGGAAGACAGGGTTCGAATAGTTAAATTTATGAGCTTCCCCTTAATGCCGTGGGAAGAGGAAACTTGATTAACTACATCAGTGTTCCACCAGGATTTCAGATGGGGATTTCTGTGCTTTCTGAGAGCCCCTCATTTTGACAGGCTGGGAAATGCTGGAAGGGCTTGATCCAATGGGCAGCGTCTCCTGGTTTATCAGTGAATGCTTTTCCACTTGTATTCCCGTGTTCCAGCATCCAGCCTGCCCCTGGGATGGGATTAGCAGGGTCTTCCCTGCGCTGCTGGATGGAGCCAGGCCTGGGTGACCTCCAGCAGTTCCCATTACAGAGGGAACACCAACATTCCTGGGGAGGAAGGCGAAGCCGGCACTTACGTGCAACACTGGGACAGCGGAGCCAGGATGGAGGTTTCATCGTGGGAATGCCGCCCAAACCTGGGGGTAAAGCCAAAAGCAGAGTGTTTAGTGCCTGTCCAGCCCCTTCCCTCCTCCCCTCCCTCCTCCTGCAGCCTCACCCTCTGGCATTGTCCAGGTGCAGGAGGAATCCGTCGTCCCCGAACTTGGTGAACATTTCGTAGTGGTGCCGGTCCATGTTCCCTGGCAAAGGGCAGACGGAGGAACGGAGTTTCCCTTTCCTGTGACCTGGTGGGTTTCTAAACTATCCTATGCTTTCTTTCAGGTCTACATGAAACATGTGTTTAAGATGCTCACAGCTGTTGCTTTCACCTCGCTGGGGAGTGGGCTGGGGTGAGTCGGAGGGGGTGCCCTGTGGGGAGACAGCAGCCTCTCCAAACTGTCTCTGGAGGAGAAGGGATGGCCTTGGGAAACTCCATGGTGTGGGAGGGAGGGCAGGAAGAATGATGGTGAAGACCTACATGGAAGCAATGCCCTCCCCTCCCCTTCATACCTATTAGGAAGTCAAAGATGGCCATGTCCACGATGTTGAGCAGCCGGTTGCCCTTGCTGTAGGGGTAGATCTCCCTCACTGTGTTGCAGTAGAGAGGATTCACTTCCCACCTGCAGGAATTGGAGAAGGGGGAGACTCACTCAGTTGCTGCTGCTGAGTCCCAAGAGTCCCCCAAAGCCTGGGCCTAAACCTCCCTCCTTGTGCTTGCGGGAGGCTGGAATTCAAGCCCAGGCTTTGGGAGTTATTAGATGACTTGTGGGCACCCTGAACCTTCCCCTGCCTGCGCCGTTTCTGTCCGTGTGTCTGTCCCCACGTGCCCCCCGCAGTGCAGATATTACGGGAAGCAGCATCATTTACCCACTTACTCCTCTTTTCCGTCAAACGAGTAGGAGCGGATCCAGGGGTTTGGGATGGAGAGCCGTGGTGCCAGGTTGAGGGAGGGCAGGAAGGCGGAGAGGGACCCTTCCAGGAGGTGGGGGTTCCCACACACCGCGTACTCCGTCTTGCACATGTAGGGGCACTTGGCGAAGAAGCAGACGTTGCCGGCTGGGAAGGGGGAAGAGAAAACGGGTTTGCAGGAGGCTGTGAGGTGGCCTGGACTGACCCCTTCCCCACTGGGGGACAGTGGCTGTGTGTGCTGTGACATAACCATGTCATGGATTGGGAAACTGCCAAATCGTTGGTTTTGTCTGATGGACAGACCTGGCCCCACACTTAGGAAAAGAGGGCAGGGGAATAGATCTGGGAGATGATTCCAGCTGCAGGCTGGGAGAGGGACACCTCTGCTGTAACCGTGTCTCTGTGCACCTGTTTCACCCAGGAATTTCATTTCTGCACCACAGCATGAGTCCTGCAGCCCCTTCTGCCTGCAGGTCCTGCCCTTCCTCCCACCACGGACCAGCTGAGGTTTGGCTGAGGTTGGAAGGGACCTTGAGGAGCATCTGCATCATCACTAGCCTCACCCCAGCTCGCAGCTGCCCCACCTGGTGAGACGAAGAACACGCTCTGCAGGACCTCGTTCTTGGTGACCTCCAGGATCTCCCTGGTGACGTTGATCCACCTCCCGACCGTGGGCGGCACCCTCCGGAAATCCAGGATCCTGCAAGGAGGGGACAGAGCAAAGGGACATTGCTGCACGGTGGGATGGCAGATGCTGCCCTCATCCCTTCTGTCAGGGAACCAGGAGCCTTCAGACCGCTGTACCCATGTGGGTTTGGGTTTTTTTTTTCTCCCAGACTCTCTCAAGCAAAAAGCCATTTCGCCCCTCTGGGCCAAAATGTGGCTGAGTTTGGCTTTTGGTATTTTAATTGCTGCTGTCTGCAACAATCTGGATGTTCTCCAGGATTCCTGTCTCTTTCCCTAACAGGTCTTGCCTCGGTTTCTCCCATCCTCTTGCACACAAGTGGGGTCCTTCAGGGGCCAGAACAGCCCTCCAGGCCCTTCTAGGGTGTTGGTTTGACACAGAGCAAAGATGCTGATCCTGGCTGAGGAGGCACAGCCCTCTCAGAGCCACTCAAACCCCGCTGATTCCTCTAAAATGTTCTTAAAAACCTCAGGGCCTGGGGAAGGAAGGCATTCCTGGCAGAGAGTGGGAAGCTGCTGCTGATTGCTGAGTCAGTAACACGGGGTGAAATGGCTAATGCTCTGCTTTGCTCCTTGGGTAATGCCCTCTGCTCCTGGGAATCGGGCACAAAACAGGATTTAGCCTGTTACTTATTGAGCAATGTTTAAAGGAAAAAAAAAATATTTGCTCTCATCCAGCATCTTTCAGCTCTAAAAACCACAGAGCACTTCAGAAAAGCAGTCTGGCCTCATTTCTGTGGTGGTGGAGCTGCAGAGGGAGCTGCTGGTAGCTGAGTCAAGCAGAGTCACTGTGGTGATGTAGGGGCAGAACTGGGAAGGGAATTCAGCTCCCTTCGTTCCCTTGCTTGGAGTTTAAACTACAGGACTTAGAGTAGACCTGCTTATCCTATAGGAATTGGAGACCCCCATCCACCATCACCATCAGGATCACCTTCCCTTGATGTTCAATGCTCATCCCACTGAGGGGAGAAAGGCTGCTGCCCTCATCTTCTGAGAAGGGTGTATTTGATTTTATTAAATACAAACCCTGCTGGAGAGAGGTGTCAGGTTAATTGCTCATTAGCTGAGGGCTTAAAACTGCATCTCTGCAGTCTATCTCCATCCAAAACACACCTTGATTGCTGATTGAGTGTGTGACTCTCTCACTGGGAGGGCAGTCAGGCTGTGCCCAGAGCTCAGCTTTGGATGCAGGGGAGGGATGGTGTGTGTGTGCTGTGTGACAGCCAGGTGAATATCTGACCTGTTCCAACCTGTTCTCATGCAGTGGCCAAGGCAAAGCTGACCCCTGTGGGGTCAGGTGACAGCCAGAGCCACCCCATCCCCAAATAACACCTCAGCTCCCTGAGGGTGCTGCAGAGCAATCGCTTCTCTGGGGCTGAGCAGGGCTCAGCACGGCTTTTCCCGTGCCAAAGCTCTCCGTGGGCAGAGGAGCAGGCCCTGGCAGCAGCAGCAGCAGCAGCAGGAGGAGGAGGAGGAGGAGGAGGCAGGGGCTGTGGCAGGTCCTCACCTGTCCAGGTGGAAGGCGGCGATCTCCGCGTTGTGCCGCTGGAAGTCAACGAAGTAGAAAAAGTCCTCGGGAGTCTCTTCCTCGCGTTTCTGCCTGGGAGGGAGCAGGGGGTGAACCTCACCAAGCTGTTTAAAACTGTTTGAGGGGAGCAAGACCAATGGCTGTTTCTTGGAAACGCTCTTGGGAATCCCAGGAAAAACAAGGTCAGACCCCAGAGCCAGCCGGGGAAGAGGAGGAAACGAGCGGTCCCTGATGGGAAAGCTCTCAGGAGAACAAGGGTCCTTTGCAGTCTGGCATTTGTGAACTGAGAAATGTCCAACACCAACAGCAGTGTGGGAACACTGGTGTTTATCCACGTGTGTTCCTGGGATGGTGTGAGCAGCCAAGAATAATTAAACCTAATTAACCCTGCTGGGCTGTCCAGGTAGCTGAGGGCAGCAGGGGGAAGGTGTGGCAGTGGCGTGGCTGTCCCTGCCAAGGATGCTCCCACCCCTCACTCACGGCAGGGTTCTGGCTTTGCAGGGGGCTCTGATGGTGTCCTTACCTCATGGGCTTGAACATGGCCTTCCCAAAATCCTGGAACCTGAGGACCAGCTTCAGGTGGACCCCGCTGGGCTTCACGACTTGGGGAGGAAACAGGATGTCAAACAGCCTGGGAACACCCCAGCTACACAATCCATCTCAACTCAGCTTTCCATCCCAGTAAGTGCATCCCATCACCCCTCCCAGCTGCTCCTCTCTTTCCAGTTATTTTTCTTCTCCCCCTCTCCCTTGTGCCACAGGGATTTCCTTCCAGCCCCTCTCCCAACAGCCATTTGTTACATCCCCCCCTGGGGGCTCTTTCCTCCTCCCCAGTAGAAACCAGTGGTGCACCAGTGTCCTGGTACCCACATCGAACAGGCCACTCATGGAAGTGGTGGAATCATCATCCCTGGAAGTGCTCAAAGAGCATCTCAACGTGGCACTTGGGGACTGGCTTTAGTGGTGGGCCTTGCAGTGCTGGGGGAGCAGCTGGACTGGGTGATTTTAGAAGTCTTTTTAGAAGTCTTTTCCAATCTTAAGGACTCCATAGTCTCCAATCCCAACCTCTGCTGGGGTGGAGGGGTTTAATGGGAGGGAAAAGGGCCTGGCATCGCCTGGCTTTGCATTTCCCTGGCTGAGGCTGGGATGGAGGAGCTGGGGATGGGGCCGGCCGAAGCAACGGGGTGCAGGGGCGAGCCCCAAGTGTCCCACTCACCCTGGCTGCAGTCACAGGCTCCCAGCAGTGCCTTCTCGTCCTGGCTGTAATCTGCAAGGGCAGGAGCAGTGGTGAGACCCCGCTGGGCTCCATCCCCGGCTATAAAACCCCCCACTCCCAGGTTCCAAAGGTTTGCAGGAGGGACCTGTGGGGGCTGGAGCTCACCGGCACTGATGGTGGGGAACTCGTGCATGTCCCGGAGCAGCCTGTTAACCACGGGGCTGGAGCGGGGGTAGAGCCCATCCCGGCTGATGCCCAGGTGGAACTGCAGCCAGCTGGCTTCTGGCCGCAGAGGCACCGACGCCGCAGGGGACGTCAGGTTGAGCTCCTCCCTGTAGAGCTTGTGTCTCCTGGAAGAGAGTGGTGACAGGGTGATGAGCACGAGCCAGGGGATGGAAGACCTTACTGCTCCGAGCCTGGAGTCTGCTGAGAGTGGGGAGGGTGCCAGGAGCAGAGCTGGAGGGACGTGGGGTGGATGAGGACTCTGGGTGCCATCCGAGGGGAAACTGAGGCAGGGAGCAATGACTGGGATGGTCAGAGGTGTCACAAACTGTGCCACCTTCTGCCTCTGCAAAGCCCTGGAAAGCTGCCTCAGGGAAGCACGAGGGACTCTATTGTCTTCTTCTCATTCCACCAGGACCTGGAGGGCATGACTGGAGCTCAGCTGCATCTCCAGCATCACAAAGAGCTGGTGTGGGATGGATGCAGTGCTTTCCAGAGCAACTACAGGCTCCTGACCAGGTTTGAGGAGGGGAGGGGATGTGACAGCAGGCAACTTGGGTCTCAACTGTTCAGTGAGGTGTCTGGGAAGCCCAGGAGAACAACAGGGTGTTGTCTGTCCAGAGATGACAGTCTTTACAGTCATTGCATCTCTGACAGAATTTGTTTTCCCAAAGCTGGAGGTCCCAGGCAAGGAAAAAAAGTCACTGAGAGCCACAAATTGCAATTCCATGACCAGATTCACAGCCCTCAGCTCAGTGAGCAGGGATGACAAGGCCATCCAGCAGCATCGTCTCTTGAAATCAAGGCCCTACCCACTCCTTTCTTGGCAGGTGGAGCTGGAGGGGCCTCCCAAGTACAGTGATAATCCAAACCCATCTCTGCACTCAGTCAGCATTTTCCTCAGCCTCAAGACCTCCACAGTCTGGAACTGAGAGGTCACTCATTCCACCCAGCAGAGCGACAGTTTCTCGTTAACACCGCCCGGGCTGTGCACGGAGCAGCCGCAACTGACAAAGGGAAAGTTCAGTTTGCACTGGAAGGACACATCTGTGAGAGCAAACAGGAGCTGGGGGCTGATAAGGAGTGGGACATTAAGCAAGGCTGGGACAGAGTGGCTGGAGAGAGGGAAGTGCCACACGCCTGGCCAGACCTCAGCCAGAGCCTGAGCTCCGGGAAATGCTGCAGCGAGTGCTGACCATTCACCAAGGCATTTATCATCCAAGGAGCTGGCACTGGTGGCTGGAAAGGGCTCCTGGGTGGTGGTGGCGGCTTCTTTGTTTCCCTGCTCAGCCCAACAGTTGGTGTTTGGTTGTGGTTTTTTTTTTTTCCATCATCCTTCTCCATCCAAGCAGGTTAAACAGGGTGATTAGTCCAGTCTACCTGCCAAGCAAGGGATGAACCTTCCGGAGGTGAGGGACGTGTTTCAGTGGTATCCTGGGAAACATCTAGGAGCTGGAGAGACAGGTTGTCTGTGCAGGTCACGGGAGCCTGTTCCCTCTCCCAGTTTGTTTGTCTTTCCATGGGGTCAGGTCAGCCACAGCACGAAGTCCACGTGGTCAGAGGGAATGGTGCTGGAGCACTTCCCTCCTGCTCCAGCTCTTTGCTCAGGCTGTCTGCAAAGGAGGCAGAAGGGATGTGGCCCTGGAATGCTGTCAGCTCCAGTGGATGTGCCCTGACCCTTCCATGCTGCTGCCCTGCACCAGGTTTCCCGTGGACAGTTCTTTGAGGCACAACCTTAACCCTCACCACAGCCAGGGACAATAAACCCCAGAGTGATGCAGAAGAATGACTCAGGATTTTTCCCTAGGGAGGCTGCCCAAATATTTTACCATATTTGCTCTCCTGCCTCCCATGCACACAGGCTGTTCCCCTAGGGTGGCAGAGAGCAAGGGATTACCAGTGGGGAAAAAAATGCAGTGGTTATGCAAGGGGAGGCAGATCCCAGCCCTGCACCCACATGGGCCCTGCCCCGGGTGAGCCAGCCCCTTCCCAGCCTTCAAACCCAAAATACAGCTCCCTCTGCCTCCCTGTTTCCTTCAGGATTCCTGAAATATTTCCCTGTAAAAACAGATCTCTGCAAAAAGGCATAATGATATAAAAACAGGGTTCATTTTTACCCTGCTATAAATAGCCCCAGGGTTGCCCTGGCTCTCAGCTGGACTTGGAGTGGGGGCACAGCATGAGGTGACACTGGGCTCAGGCCACCAGTGCCATGACTTTGGGGTTTTGGAGCTGCTCCTTCAAGGATAAAAATAATCTCTGGAGTTTTAAGGGGGTTTTTTGTTTGTTTGGTTTGGTTTGGTTTTTTTTGTTTGTTTGTTTCGTTTCGTTTTGGTTTTGGTTTTGAAGAGGTGTGGATGTTGGGTTTTTTTTTGCTGTTTCCTCCCTGCATCCCCATCAGTCTCTCCAGCTGGTTCTGCATCCTGCAATCGAACTCCTGGCCCTGATTGAAGTGCTGGGGAACAGCACAGCGATGGGCAGCAGCCAGAGAGCTCTGTGGAAGGGGACAAGCACTGCCCTGCTCCCCTTGGCCACGGGTATCCAAGCAGGACGTGTCCTGGGGCCACTCCAGGAGCTGGCAGAGTCCCCGTCCAGCTGATGTCCATCTGGCTGCAGAAATGAAGACAGACACGCTGTGCTGGAGATTAAGCTGCAGCTTGTTCCACTCAAGAGGAGCATCGTGCTGCTCTAAAAGCTGCTCTGCCAACAGCCAGACCCACGGGTGATGGAGAAACCTGTGCAGTCATGCCGTCACGCCAGAGGAGAGGATCCACATGGACTCTCAGCTCTCACCCTCTCCTGCCTGGACATGGAGCTGCTGCAGACTTCACTCTTGAGTCCTCAACAGCAGCAGCAGCTTTGCTAAACCCATGGATTGGGAGGGAAAGCCACGGATTCCTCACTCCCATGAGGACACTGCCCTTGGCTCTCGGCAGTGACAGGGATGGCTCCTTCCCTGACCACGTTGGTGAGGACATGGGCTCTGCAGTGCTCCTGGAGAGGGGAGAATTCCTCCATCCCCCACAGCAAACTGATGATCTTCTGAAAAGCACCAGCCCTGCCAAGTGCCATCTGATTCTCTCTTGGATTTGCAGCACCAGTTGTTGCAGAGGCCGCTGCGTGTCACCTCGGGCCGTCCGTGCTCCCCGGAGGTTGTGAGCATCACACATTTTATTTCGAAGTGACTGAGGAATAATCAATACCTGGAGGAGGAAAGCGAAGTCAGTCAAGGACAAACACGATGTTCCTCCCGGACACATCACAGCCAGACCTCGGAGCAGGAGGGAACTCGCAGCCACGGCTTCGTCGCAAACACCACGTTGGGACAAAGCGGTAAATAAAATCGGGGAATGCAGACTTCTCGCTGAACAGCCAGGGCTGTCCTGCAGCTGAGGTGTGGACATAACGCCAGCCCTGCAGAAAGAGCTCAGCACCAGGTGCTCAGGGCTTCTGATGGTGCAGCCATCAAGCCGTGAGCTGTTCCAGTTTAAATCCCTTGTTCCCACCAGGATTTTTCTTGGGAAATGTCCATCTTGGTACCCATATCCTGAGGTCTTCAGAAGGCACTGCTCAGCTCTGAGGAGGTACACCCAAGGGAGGTCTGTGGCACAGCCAGGGATACCCAAACCCACCATCCACGGACTTCAAGTGATGTGATGAAGGATCCAGCGTGCTCCAGACTGACTCGAGCCCGGGAAGAGCCTCGTAGGGGTGACCCTGGCTGAGCACACAGGGTAGTTCCAGACCCTGGGCCACGGAAGTCGTTCCTTGTTTCCTTCCATTAACACTTCCCATCACCTCCTCCTGCGAACCTCACGTGGAGCCAGCACTGGGTGAGTCCCACAGGAAGAGCAGGGATGGGCACTGAAGTGGAGAAAGTGGGAGCTTGGGAATCCTGCCCACTCGGCTCAGCAGACATCAAACAGGTGGCAGCTGCTCTGGTGCTGGAAACCAAACTTGGACAGTGGGGAAGTTCCAGGACAGGGATTCCTGAGGTGGTCCCCAGGAGATGCTGCTGTCCCCTTGCAGGTGTCCTGTCCCTGTCCCATGGAGGGGGCAGTGAGGTGATGCCGTGAGCACTGGGAGCTCCGTGCTCTGTTGAATCCCAGTTTGTGCATGAATGGAAAAGCTGTTGGGGTGCAGGGAGGAGCTGGGGGATCCTGGGGGATGCTGGATGTTTCCAGCTTGGTCCCAGCCCTCCTGCAAGGGGGGTTAGATCAGGGGTCCAGGACCCAGTGGTCGGATCATGCTCATGTGGTCGATGTTCAGAGTTGGTGCTGAAGGTCACTGTCACTGTCCCCCCGCTTTGTGACAGTCCCACCCCAGGAGCAGGAGATGGGGGAGTTTTCCTGCAGCTGTTGCAGGGGCTGGGAGAGGCAGCAGGAGGAGAACTCTGAGCTGGGGATCCCTTTTCCTGGGAATCTGACAGCAGAGATGGGTAGGAGACACCCCAGGAAGGTGTCCCCCAGCTCTGCCCAGCTCTGCCTGTCCATGGTGGGCTGGTTCGTGGGGAGGGGGGTGATGGGGAGGGCAGTGGGACAGAGAGCCAGGACATGGGGTGCAAGCTCAACTAGGGGTGCCAGGGGACACCCAGGGGGATCCATTGCCATTCCCAGGCACGGAGTGCTTAAGCAGAGGAGGGGTGTTGGGGACAGCTGCCCTGAAAGGGCAGGGGATGCCCGGGAAAGGGGTGCCTGGGAAAGGGGTACCCAGGAGATGCTCATGCAGGAGGTGCCTGGGAAAGGGGTGCCCAGGAGATGCCCAGGAAGGGGGTGCCCAAGCAAGGGGTGCCTGGGAAGGGAGTGCCCAGGAGGTTCCCAAGAAAACGGTGCCCAGGAGATGCCCGGGGAGGGGATGCCCGCGCAAGGGGTACCCAAGAGATGCCCGGGGAGGGGATGCCCGCGCAAGGGGTACCCAGGAGATGCCCGGGGAGGGGATGCCCGCGCAGAGGGTGCCCGGTGCGGGGGTGCCGCGGCGGCGGCGGGACGCACCTGTTCCAGCGAGCCGCCTTCCGCCGGTAGTAGCGCAGGGCTTCGCGGGCGCCCAGCAGCGGCTCGGCGGGGCCCGGCGGGGCGGTGCGGTACAGCGGGTGGGCGAAGAGGCGGCGCAGCGCGGGGGCGGCGCGGGCGCGGGGCGGCGGGCGCGGGCCGGGGGTCCCGGCGGGGCGGCGGCGGCAGGGGCAGCTCCCCGGGGACGACGCCCTTTCCCCCGCCAGCTCCCGCCGCGCCCGCGGCCAGAGGTGGAAGTAGAGGTCGGCGGCCAGCAGAGCCCCGAGCAGCAGCAGCACGGCCGGGCGGTCCCGGCGCGGCCCCGGCATGGCCGGTGCGGGAGCTGCGGGACGGGGACAGGGACAGGGGCAGGGACAGGGACGGGGACAGCGCCGGGCTCGCCGCCGGCGGCTCCCGGGGCAGGGCGCACGGGGGAGCTCGAGCGGCGGAGCCGGGGGGTGCGGGCACCTCGGGGCGGGGACCGGGCTGGGCTGCTCGGGGCCCGGGGCGGGGGATCGGGGGTTAGGGGGGGACGGGAGCGTTGGAGTCACCCCCGCAGAGGGGGTGACTCCTCGGGGTCGCGGTGCCGGCGAAGGGGATGCGCCCGAGGCGGTGCGGGGACCGAGCCGAGCCGCCCGCCCCCCCGGAGCACCGCCCGGCCGCCCAGCGCAGCCCCCCGGGCAGGTGGAGGGTCCCCCCCGCCCTCGGCTCCTCCGGAGGGGTTCGTCCCCTCTCCCGAAAGGTGGAAAGTCTCTCCCGCCCGGCGGAACCTTTGGCAGGAGCTGGAGGGCGGCGGGTGTCGCTGCTGCGGGGTCTCGGGGTGGGTGCGGGGATGGGGCACTCGAACACCCCTGTGTGGCTGCGGGCTGAGCCCCGGGGGGGGTCTGTCCCCCCACAGCCCTCCCTCTGTGCTCTCTGGCTGATGGTTCAGACGCCGCTTGTATTTTCTTAATTCCTAAAAAAAACCCCCCATATAGTTGGGAAACTCCTCCCTGCAGTTTGCTGCGAGAGGCTGGGCCGTGGGGATGTGCTTGGGCTGGGACCCACCGGGCTCATCCTTGAGGGGATGGAGGGCCCGGCTGCGAGCGGGGCGGGGAGCCCAGCGAGGGACAGGTTGGAGAGCACCAGGCCAAGGGAGGGGAACGGAGGAGAAACTGGCTGTAAACAAGGGGAGCGTGACCAGACTAGCCTGGCTCCAGCACCGTGCTGAAGGGAGAACAAAAAATAAACTGCAGAAAAAAAGTCAATAATTATGTTTTCAGCTGGCTGGAGCAGGGCTCGGGTCTGCGTGCAGCACGGCCAGGGGAGGCTCTGGGAAGTGTCCTGGGATCCTGGGCTTGGGACTGTGCAAACGGGGTGAACCTGCTGGCTGGGCATCTGTCCTGGAGCCTCAGGGGCCTTTTGGTTAAGCAGGGCAGAGAAGATGATCCTGGGCTGAATTGTGGCTGGAGGGACGTAGAGTACATCTGTCCCCTTGGTCTCTTGGTCTTTGGAGGTTGGGGGGCTGTTCTCATTTAGGAATGCAATTTCAAAATCCCTTCATCTTTTGATATTTGGGTTTCAGGTTTTTGGGGTTTGCTCTAAACTTTTTTTTTCCTACAATACCAAGCTTTGTGTATTTTCCACAGAGTGTCAGAAAAATCATAAGCACAAACTGCAGCTGGTGCTTCTGTGGCCAGTGAGGATCAGTGGGAGCAAATGAGGTGCTCCCCACACTGCTTGGCTTTTGGGGGCACTGGCTGTGCCTGTCCTTCCCTGCCCATTGGGGGCAAAACTGGTGTAATGATTGCAGTCGGATTCCTTCAGGCTCTAAACCAGACAAGAGGTATCAAGAGGGAGAATTTTAGGATCCTGCCTGTATTGGAAAGGCTTGGGGGGCACTGGGTGGGCAGGGGCTCTGCTCAGAGGTGCTGGGGTGGGGTCTGCAGGGTGGGAAGCCTCAGAGCTGATCCTCCTGGCACTGAAGGGGAGAATAAGCTTTCAGTATATAAAATTGGATTCAAATAAGGGGGGAAATGATCTCCAGCTCTCTGGTCAGGTTGCTCGGGAGAGAGCAAAGCGTGTTGTGCTGCAGCTGCACACTCTGTCCGGGAACACCGAGGTCCTCAGTCCCTCCAGGTGACCTGGCAGCTTCCCCAGACCAGTGTCATCACGAGGCCGATACAAAGCAACAGCCTAATGGGGGCTAACAATAGAATTCTTATTTAAAAAAAAAAAAATTCAAAAAAAGATTAACCAGCTGAAGTTAAACCCTGGAATTCAGCAAGCCCAGATGAATCACTGGGAGCAGAGCCTGCCCTGTGGCTGCCAGCCCGCTGAAGGGCACTCACTGCCTCACTCCAAACTCAAAGAGCAACTTTCGACAAACACTCCATCAAAAAAACTGGCTAATACTTGCTTGGCTCCTAATCCCCACTGAGCTGTTTCCCTGTTGCTAATCTCTCCCAGGAACCATTAATAAATCTTCCCTGGTTTGCAAGGCTGATTCTGAACAAAGGCACCAGGAACCAGCAGTGCCCGGGCCCGTGGCTCCGCTGTTTGCACGCTCCGCAGGAAGATTGTTTCGCTTTTAATGAGCCCAATTAAAAAAAAAGAAACAAAAAAAAATAATAAATCAATCTCATTAATCTGTAATAAATCGAAGCGCTGTGGTCCTTCCCAAGGCGTGCAGTGACTGCCAGCTCCCCACACGCTCTGGGGTGCAAGATCACCAGTATTATTTAGAACAGCTCAGCAATGCCAGTGCTACCTGGGCTGTGCCTGCCCAGCGGTGCTTCCCTGCTCATCCATGGCTTGGAGTCCCTTGGGAGCAGGGGGGATCCCTCTGGAGTTTGTCTCCATCCCTCAGCATCTCTCTGTGTTCTGGTTTCTTGGTTGGTGGCTCTTGCTGCCAGGCTGTACCTGGTCTGTGCGTAGCCCCTGCAGTCTCTGGGCTGCAGCTGAGCATCACTCCCCACCCTCGGGCTCTGCAGCCTGGAAAGGGTGGATGTGTTCCTAAAATTAACCTGGAAATGCTGCTTTGATAGGCCACTGACAGCTACAGCGGAACCAAATTAGCGTTTGGAATTACCATGAGATAATTGGCCTCATTTGCTATTTAAAGATGGGGGGGGGGGGGGGAAGCTCCCTCTTCCACACAACTGCAGTGGAGAAATGTTCAGGCGTAGATGATGTCCCAAAACATATCATTAAAGCTTTAAATAAATGTATGATGACATCTGGTGTTTAAAAAGTCTTCCTTTGTGTTTCAGATAGGAACCAGGAATCCTTTTCAAAGTCGTTTTTTAATGAAGGATATTACTCTTGTTTTTTCCAGACACGCAACTTACAATATTTGGAGTTGTAAGTATGTCATTTGAATTCTTTCACACAGGGTGGATTTAAAAATCATCTTCCTTAGAGATGCCTCTTACTTGCCAAAAGGTAAATGCCTCTGTCTGCTGGTTTTTGTCTTTTTCACTTGAAATGCTGCAGAGCTGCCCCGGTCCCACCCTGCAGATTGTAATGTTTGGAAAAGGGAGGAGATGGGAACTATCCTTTTCTCACTGTCATTAATTACAAGGATTAAACACCAAGGCAGCTACACAACATTGCAGACAAAATAAAAATATGAGTTGGAGGAGCCAAGTTCTGCGTTTGCTGCCTCACAGTCAAGATGTGTCTGAGCACATCGCGGCACAGGCATGCCAGAAGCACTTCCCGCAGTTCCAGTCCTGTTCCTGGTCTGGCTGGTCCAGCCAGGACTCAGAGAACCAGGTCCATCTTCTTCCTGAGTGATGGTGGTAATGGTGGTGGTGGTTATGTTGGTGGTTGTTTTGTTGGTCATGGTCATCGTGGTCCCCGAAGTGCATCTCCCTCCCAGCCTCCCAGGGCTGGAATTTATTTCCCAGGAAAGGTGATGCCTCTCACAAGCTGTTTGATGGGGTCTCTGCTGCCTGAACCCCCCAGGACTGGGGGTTTCCCACCACCAGGGTTGTGTAAGATCCCTCCCCAGCCAGTGCTGTGCTGGTTTGGTGGGAGCAGCGCTCACTGTTGCTCTGGGCTGTCTCACACTCTGCCTTGGCTTGTAATTAAAAATGAAATATTTGGGCGAGGTGCTGAAATTAAGAACACGTTTTTGATAGCTAACAGTACAGAGGAAAGCCCTGGAGACCCTGATAGGGCAATCAGTGCCTCTCCACTTGCATTGGAGATGATTCTTTTGAGAGAGGAAGCCTGTTCGCTCCAGGGGATTTTTTTGGTACAAAAATGCAATTACAGGGTATAAAAGGGAACATTTAGAAACATACAAAACAGGAATGAGTCTGGAGCCTCCTTTGCCGCAGGACAGGGAAGACAGAAGGTAAGAGATGCCCCAGGCATGACACCCCTAACACTTCCCCTCCAACCTGCTGGCCCTGGCAGCAGCTCCCATCAACTCGTGGTTTCATTTCCCTCCCATCCACCTCTCCTGGCTGCTGTTCCAGGCTCAGCTGCTGTTCCAGGCTCATCCCTTGGCCTCAGCAAGCTCCCAGCTGCTGCTGCGGGCTCAGGAGGCCGGGTGGTTCCTATCCCAGTTGGCAATGAGCTTTTGCACAGCTCAGCACAGCCCGGAGGAATCCACCTTCACGGTCCAGGCGAGCGGCCGTCGTGTGCCGGGGCCGCCGCCTCCAGCACAGCTCTGCTTCCCCCCTCCCTCTCTCCCTCTAAGCATCTCTAGAGCTGGTATGTTGTTTAGAACAAAGCCTTGAGGGGCTGTGGCAGCTTCCCATGATCAACCCCAACACCATGTCATCCCAGGATGATGGGCAAGCCCTGGCACAGCGTGTGGGGGATGAGAAGGCTCCGCTGCGCTCCCCGCGCTCCCATCTGAAATCCAGCTGATGGACGCCGACTCTGCGAGCCTAAAAAAGGTCTGTAGCAAGAAGAACTCGTGGAGGAAGGTGGTGGTGACCTGCAGGGAGCCAGCACAAGGGCAGGGCTGCCTGCACGTCCCTGCAGAGCGGGTGACACGGGGCTGTTTGTCTTGGACGTGCCGGGATGGGCTGGAAAACAGCGCTGACCTCTTGAGCAACTCTGGGGGGGTTTTTGGCCGGCCGGGCAGTGGCTCAGATTGTGTTGAGTTTATAAGGTCTGATTTCCAAGATAGTAAAACCAAAACAACCCTGTCCAATGGCCAGGCTCGCCCTTGCCAAGGAGGAAGGGAACAGTCGCCGTCGTTAAAGGTTAAGTAACAGCAAATCACGTTTCTCGTGCTGGGCTGTGTGTGCACATTATTTAATCAGTGTTTAGTTTGTTGAATTACTTTTATTGGGAGTTAACTGTGTAGTGGTCTCAGTGGAACATCTGGTCCATGATTTGGAAG